TGTACGTAAAAACTGGTTTTCAACAAGAGGTGGTTGGTGGGGGCTGGAGAGATGGCTCAGTGGTTAAGAGCATTGCCTGCTCTTCCAAAGGTCCTGAGTTCAATTCCCGGCAACCAAGTGATGGCTCACAACCATCTGTACCGAGATCTGGCGCCCTCTTCTGGCCTGCAGACATACACACAGACAGAATATTGTATACATAATAAATAAATATTTAAAAAAAAAGAGGTGGTTGGTGCACACCTTTAATTCCAGCAAGTGGGAGGCAGAGGCAGGTGGGTCTCTGTGAGTTAGAGGCCAGCCTGGGCTATGGAGTGAGTTCTAGAACAGCCACGGCTACACAAAGACAATCCTGTCTCAAAACAAAACTGGTTCTTGGGGGCTAGAGAGACGGCGGTTAAGAGCATTGCTTGCTCTTCCAAAGGTCCTGAGTTCAATTCTCAGCAACCACATGGTGGCTCACAACCAACTGTAATGAGGTCTGGTGCCCTCCTCTGGCCTGCAGGCATACACACAGACAGAATACTGTATACATAATAAATAAATAAAAATTTTAAAAAAAACCTGGTTCTTCATACCATGTTGGTTTTTATCTTTTTATTTAGTGAATCACCCCATATGTGAAATATAACAGGAATTCTGGTTCATGTTTTCTACCATGCTGGATCAATTCATAGACTGTTATATTTTATTTGACTTCTGAACGGTGAGTTGTGATTTTCCTTTGTTCTAACCTGTCAACAATCCTCAGAAAGAACTTGACTTCAGGGACTGGGGTTATGGAGAACACATACAGGTCAAGGCCTTCTTCAGAGTTGTGCCCCAAAGTCACCAGCACTCAGAATCCAATCTTTATAGTTAAAGTGTTTTTTTAAAAAGGCCATTGAGGGCTGGAGAGATGGCTCAGTGGTTAAGAGCATTGCCTGCTCTTCCAAAGGTCCTGAGTTCAATTCCCAGCAACCACATGGTGGCTCACAACCATCTGTAATGAGATCTGGTGCCCTCTTCTGGCCTGCAGACATACACACAGACAGAATATTGTATACATAATAAATAAAAAAAAAGGCCATTGAAACAGCTCAACGGATAATAGCTATCAGGAGATGTGGTGATGTTTTAACAAATAAAGCTTGCCTGAAGATCAGAGTGCAGAGCTAGCCACTAGTTAGCCATAGAGGCCAGGTAGCGCTGGAACACACGTTTAATCGCCACACTCTGAGATCTCTGAGAGCCCAAGGCCATCCTAGGCTATGCGAGTTGGAATCCACCTAAAAGAAAGTACTGCCGGCAGCTCACACCTTTAATCCCAGCACTTGGGAGGTGGAGTCAGGAGGTGGTGGTACGGTGGGCGGGGCTTAGAGAGGATATAAATTCGGAGGGGAGACAGGGGCTTGTGTTTCAGTCTGAAGTTTCATAGAGGCAGCATTCAGTCTGAGCACTTGTAGAGAGAAGATACCGTATTCGGTCTGAAGATTTGTGGAGATAAGAACTAGTGGCCTGCTCTATTTCTCTGATCTTTCAGCTTTCACGCCCTAATATCTGACTCCGGGTTTTTACTATTAAAACCAATTAGAATTCGCACTGCCAGCGACAAGACTCGCGTCCCCTGCGACCCGAGGCCCGGGCCCAGCCGGATTTTTCTCTTCTGGCAGACATGGACTTCAGAGAGATCCTCCTGATTGCTTCCAAGGGACAAGGTGTCAACCATGTTCCGAAAAGATACAGTTTGGCAGTGGGGCCTCCTAAGAAAGATCCAAAGGTGAAAGGTGTCCAGCCGGCAGCTGTGCAAGCTTTCCTGCGGAGGAAAGAAGAGGAGCTTAGGCGGACCGCCTTAGAGGAGAAAAGGAGGCGAGAAGAACTAGTCAGAAAACGAATTGAGCTCAAACATGACAGGAGAGCCAGAGCTATGGCCAGAAGGACAAAGGACAATTTTTATGGCTACGACGGGATTCCTGTTAAGGAAAAGACAAAGAAGAGCCAGAGAGCAGAAAGCCGCCCAAACCAGGGCACTGACCCAGAGTATGAGGTGGAGACAGGAGAGTTCCCAGACTACAGTCAGGGTGAGTTGGAGCAGGAATTCAAGGAGGACCAAGAGCCTCTCAAAGCTGAAAGCCAACCAAAGGCCCCCCTTAAAAGGACCCCTCCCCCCATGACCTTCACTGAATTAATGAGGTTAGCTGAGAAGAAGCAGTTCGAACCAGTGGAGGTCAAGGCAGTAAGAAAAGCAGAAGAGAGGCCCTTGACTGCAAAGGAACTCAGGGAGCAAGAGTTTCTTGGACGAATGCATAAGAACAAGAAACCTGAGACAGAAGCCAAATTCCCTCTGCCTGTGTCTCCCTCTCATAGAGACAGTGTGGGCACAAAACCCAGCAAGGGTTCTGGGGACAAGCAGCCTTTTTCCAAAGGATTGCTGTTTCCTCGTGCTGAGAAGACATCCAAACCCAGCACAGGCAATGAGAAGCAAGTAGCTTTGTCTCCATGCAAATCCACTCCAGGAGAGAGGATTAAGGCCGAATCTGGCAGTAGCTCCCAGGCCTCACACAATAGACCTGTCTCCCATGGGGCTGGAAAGCCCCAGCCCAGCACCTGTTCCTCAAGTGTCCCAAAGACTTCAGCTAGTGGGACTCAGAAGTCTGCTTCTGAGCAGAAAGCCAGAAAACCTCTTCCTTCTCATCCAAGTCATTCCAAACCTGGGCCCACAGTCTTCCCACACAACGAAGCTAAGAGTCCAGGTATCAGACAGCCAGGCAGCAACACCAACTCAGCTTCTGGACGACCTAGCCCAGGGACAGCTTGGCCCACAGTTAGTTCTGGCGCCATGCCCAGGCGCCAGAACAGCAGCTCCAACTCAGGACCCGAGCAATCCATCAGTGGGATCAGAAAGCTGGCCAGCAATCCGCATCCCTCTGGACGAACAGTCAATGGCACAAATGGTACTGGACTACCTGCCAGCAGCTCCACTGGCCCTGGGCAACCCATCAGTAGCCCTGGTGGTTCTGGAAGATCTTCGAGCAGTTCTGGAGGTCCTAGGGGGCCTGTAAACAGTCCACATGACATCCGACGACCAGTGAGCAGCCTAGGTCCCCCTGGACGGTCAGTCAGTGGCCCTGGGAAGTCTATAAGTGGTTCCGTTCCAGCTAGAAGGACTGTCAGTTCAGGCCCTGGAAGACCAGTGAGCAGCTTGGGACCTGGACGCACAGTTAGTAGCCCAGGCCTCCCCATAAAACCCAAGTGCACTGTTGTCTCAGAAACAATTTCTTTAAAGAATATTATTAGTCGGTCAAGCAATGGACAGATAAATGGAATGAAGCCTCTGCCGTCTGGCTACAGATCTGTCCCAGGTCCTCAAAGGCTCCCCTTCCCTACTGGCTACAAAAGGCTTCGAGAGTGTAAAGAAGAAAGTGATGATGAATATGACCCAGACATGGATGATTTCATCGAAGATGAAGGAGACCCTCAGGAAGAAATCTCCAAGCACATTCGGGAAATCTTTGGCTATGACCGACGAAAGTATAAAGATGAAAGTGACTATGCTTTACGTGACATGGAGAGCAGCTGGCAGGAGCAGCAGAAGGAGGAAGCCAAGAGTTTAAGACTAGGAAAGCAAGAGGACCTCCAGGAGATGAGACGTGAGGAGGAAGAAAGGAAACGCCAAAAGGCCAAGAAGCTGAAGCTTCTGAAGTGAGCTCCTGCTAACTTTGTGAATCTAGGACACTGGTGCAAGGATTTCTGCCTTCAACTGAACAAGCCCCTTACCAGTTTAGATGGACACCTGGGCACTCAGGGGGAAGGAATGAGGGAATGCAGACTGTCCTGTCATTGCGGGCTATCATTTGAGTGTACTGCGTTATCAGTGTTCTCAAAGAGACCAGGGTGGAATCTATAATGCATGTGATACGATGTGTGCTCTGAGCTCTGGTGAAGTTATCTCTTCACTGGTGCCGGCTTAGATCCTGAGGAGCTGTGCACGCTCATGTCGGGGACAACTACCAGTCAGCTGGTCTTTTATTGTTCCTTTGCTACTTTCGAATGGAGACAAAGATTGATGTGTGAGTGGGGTACTACCCAGAACTCAGTCGTACTTGTCCTTAGGAACGGCCTAGCCCTTCTTTGAATGCTGCAAGCAAATAAATAAAAGCTCATACCCACACAGGACAACACATACATGAATACAAAATAAAGAAAATGTAACTTAAATTTTGTTGGTTTGTTTGTTTATTCAAGACTGGGTTTTTCTATGTAGTTCTGGCTGTCCTGGAACTTGCTCTGCAGACCAGGCTGGCTTATAACACAGAGATTTGCCTCCTGAATGATGAGATTAAAGGAGTGTGCCACCACCTCCTGGCCATTAACTTAAATTTTTAAATGAATTGCTCTATTTTTAATCCCTCCCCTTTCCCTTCCTTCCATTCTGTGAGGGCAGATGCCTGAGTCCCCAAGGAGGCAGTCAGAAGTTACAGGCGGTTGTGAAGGTCTGATGTGGGACCTGAGAATCTAACGTGGGTCCTCTGCAGGAGCAGTAGACACTCCTCTGAGCGGTGCCTATGGAGGCTGGGATAGAGTATCAGATACCCTGGAACTGAAGTTACAATCGAGCTACTATGTGGATGCTGGAAACAGAATCCTGGTTCTCTACAAGAGAAGCCAGCGCTCTTAACCAGTGATCTTTCCAGCCCCGTTTTTAACTGGGAGGTTCAGTAGGCAGTAGAAAGAGGTACTACCACAACTTCACCTATCATAGCATGCTCCTCTCCATTGGCACTAAAACTGAAAGATGGGTTTAGAGCTTAGTCCTTCGCCCCGCCCCTCGTGGCCACGCCCCCTAAGGATCCATCCTGTCTCGCGTGGCTCAGCTCCCTGAGAACTAGCCCCTGTCCACTCTCGCGACTCCGCATCCTCCGGTGTGGATCGGCTTCCGAGCCTCAGCCCCACCCCATCCCGCTGCGCCCCGCCCCATCCCGCTGGGCCACGCCTCCCCCGGCCCCGGGCGGATCCCAGCGGTCGCCCTACCCCCGCTATGGCCGCGCCGGTGACGCGGCAGGTCAGCGGCTGCGCGGGTCCAGTCCTGACCCCAACCGGCTCGGACACAGAACCCGGGCAGCCCCTAGCAGCTGCCGTGGCTGATCTGCCGGTGCTGGATGCATCCGGGAGACGGGTGTCGTTCGGCGCGCTTTTCCGGGAGCGTCGGGCCGTGGTGGTGTTCGTGAGGGTGAGCAGGGTAGAGCGGGACGGGAAGGGCCTCCCGGAGGCCGCCCCGCTGCTGGGTCCGTGTGGGTACCGCCCTTCACCCGGAATCTAGAGCCTGAACCTTCCAGACCCGGCTGCTGCCTTGCTGACGTGCTCTTCCGCATTGTTGTTGCCTTTCAGCATTTCTTGTGTTACGTCTGTAAAGAATATGTCGAGGATCTGGCCAAAATCCCCAAGAGCTTCCTCCGAGTAAGTTTCCTGAGTGAGCGGCAATGACCTGTGCGATGGGGGAACCGTGTGTGGCTGTCACCTCTTCTTCCGTCTTCTAGTGAAGCAGAGACCTAATGAGCTCCTTTGCGCCCTCTTGACTACGTACTAACCATCATTTTTGTTACCTGTAAGCTGCCTGTGTCAAACCCAGTGTTGCGTAAGAATGCAAAATCAAAACAAGACATAGGCTTCAACTGCCTTATATTTTTGACGCTTTAATTTTATAACTCAAATAGTTATTTGGTGCTCCTCCTTGCAACAGTTATTCATTATATGAAAATGTTGTCATATCTTGGAAGTGCAGGTTTGTATTTGCCAATAAGTTCCAAGTCCCGAGCCGGGCAGTGGTGGCGCACGCCTTTAATCCCAGCACTCGGGAGGCAGAGACAGGCGGATCTCTGTGAGTTCGAGACCAGCCTGGTCTACAAGAGCTAGTTCCAGGACAGGCTCCAAAGCCACAGAGAAACCCTGTCTTGAAAAACCAAAAAAAAAAAAAAAAAAAAAAAAAAATTTAAAAAAAAAAGTTCCAAGTCCCACGTCCCTGTTTTTCTTCGGTCACCAGATGTGGGTGGAAAATGTGAGTGGAAGACATCCAGATGTGAATGTGATGTATGGATAGAAGGTGTAAATGCCCGTCCCCAGATGTGGATGGAAGATCTGAGTGGAAGACATTTGTAGAAATAAAGCCTATTTTCAGCACACATGTATCAGTTAGGGTGTATGAGGGAAAAAATGGCCTCTCTTCCTTTTGTTTGCATGTTAATATTCTGAAGCCTCTTTCCAATGTAAAGGTATTACATCTACCTAATATTTTTAATATTATTGACATTGTTGGTTTACTGAACATACAAATGGGTCTTCTTATATTTTCATGTGTGAATACTTTGTTCTTATTTGCTGCTTCTCCCTTCCTCCAGAGCCACACTGACTTTGCTGTCTTCATACATATCTTCATATTCCTTTACCCTCTCATGCCCTTCTACCGCAGACCTCATCCTCTCAGCCTCCTTTCTACTTTAATATCCTACGTAAATGCATGCATAGAAATTTAAACCTAGATCCTGCATGTGAGAGAAAACAAACATATATGTCTTGCGTGGCTTCTTTGACTTGGCACGCCGATGTCCACTTCCGCCCATTTCCTGCACTTATCATGACCTCATTCTTTATGGCTGATTGCATTTCCATGTGTGTCTGTGATGTTTTTGTTGGTACTGATTTTTTATTTGTTTGTTTTTGTTTTTTGTTTTTCAAGATAGGTTTTCTCTGTGTAGCTCTGGCTGTCCTGGAACTCACTCTGTTGTCCAGGCTGGCCTCAAACTCACAGAGATCCACCTGCCTCTGCCTCCCAGGTGCTGGGATTAAAGGTGTGTGCTACCACACCAGGCTATCAAAATACAAAGAACTTTTAAAGGGGATGGATTTTTGGTGATTTTGAAATAGACAGCATGTTGCTAGTCACTATGTCAGTATGCTGGGCAGTAGATTTCTGAAATGATCGTCTTCCTCATATACAACTGAAACTGTACCCTTTGAATGATTTTCTCCCAGACTGTGGTAACCAGACACTGTTTTTTTTCCTCTACATCCATGAGTTAGACTGTTTGAATCCATATGTATTATAAGTAGAATCGTCTAGTTTTTGTCTTTCTGTTCCTGGCTTATTTCACTTAGCATAATGTCCTCCCTGTTTTCACAGTTGACAAGAAAACAAACCTCCTTTTCCACGAAATGCTACTTCATAGGGATTTATCCTATTTGACCGCTGATAGACACTTGGGTCGCATCCTTGTCTTAGCTGCTGTTGATCGTGCTGCAGTGAACATGGAAGTGTGGGGTCTCTTTGCACGCCATTTCATTTACTTTTAGTGCATAACCAATTAGTGGCATTTCTGGATCATGTGGTAGCTCTGCCTTTAATTTTTTGAATAGCCTGTGTACTGTTTTCATAAAGTCTATCCTAATTTATTCTCATTAATGCCACAGAAGGGTTCTCTTTGTTCTATGTCCTCACTGATAGTTACCTTTTTTTAAAATATGTATTTATTTATTTATTTATTTATTATGTATACAATGTTCTGTCTGTGTATATGCCTGCAGGCCAGAAGAGGGCACCAGACCTCATTACAGATGGTTGTGAGCCACCATGTGGTTGCTGGGAATTGAACTCAGGACCTTTGGAAGAGCAGGCAATGCTCTTAACCGCTGAGCCATCTCTCCAGCCCCCTAGTTACCTTTTTTTGGTTAGTAACATCGCTCCTGGGGTGAAGAGATACTTAATTGCTGTTTTCATTTCCATGTCTCTAATGACTAGTGATGATCATTATTTTTGTGTCGAGAGTGTACAAATTCTTATGCACAGAGGTCAGCCACAGGTGTTGTTTCTCAGGTGCCATTCACCTTGTTTTTTATGTAACGTCTCTCGTTGGCCTGGAGCTTGCTGATTTAAACGGGCTGGCTGAATTGGGACCCCCAGGATCCACCTGTCTCCAACCCATTGCTGGGATCACAGCACTCGCTGCTGCACTGGAATGGATTCTGGGAAAGAACTCAAATCATCATGCAAGCACTTCACCCACTGAGCCATCTCCGCAGCCCAAGAATTTTTCATATAGCTACTAACTATTTGCATGTCTACTGTCTTTTGAGAACTGTCTAAGTTTTAACCCCCTCATTGCTGGAGATCAAATCCAGATCCTATGCATACTAGACAGGCCCTGATCCCTAGCCCATTAAGTCTCTTGACAAGTGCATAATTTGCATAGTTTTTCTTAGTCCAGTCAGTGGCCTCTGTCTTTGTTGTTTCCTTTGCTATATAGAATAACACAACTTCTTGTGTGTTTACTTTCATTGTTCTGCTTTATTGATTTATATGTGCATGTGTGGAGGTCAGACAGCCTGCAGGAGTCAGTTCTCTCCTACCTGTGGGTCTCTGAGATGGGAACTCAGGTGATCAGGGACAGCAGCACCTTTACTCGCTGAACCAAATCATTGTTATACTGAATTTCCCCCTGTGTTTTCTTCTGGTAGTTTGATGTTTAATGTTTAAGTCTTGAAATTCTTACATAGAGAAAACAAATTATCTGAATTACTCAAATATTGTGCCATATATATCCTTCTACTCATGGAGTTTTGTTTTCTATTCTCCTAGAAGCCTATAGGTGGCATCAGAACAAAACGAAAGAGCTGCTCGAGGGACAGTTCTTAAGGCATGCTTTCTAATAATATGCACTTGTCCCTCTTTTCCCAAAGGAAGCGGATGTCACCCTCATAGTGATTGGGCAATCATCGTACCATCATATTGAGGTAACTAACAAGACAAGAAGCCCCATTTAAATGTGTTTCAGATATAAAAACTGCATTTGCTGAGCCCCTGTATAGTCTCAGTTGGCAGAAAAATTTTAGATTGCCATTACTTTTTAGTTGTTCTAATAGGAAGTCTAATTACTCTCGTTTTAGCCTTTCTGCAAACTGACTGGATATTCTCATGAAATCTATGTTGATCCTGAGAGAGAAATTTATAAAAGATTGGGAATGAAAAGAGGTGAAGAAATTTCCTCTTCAGGTAAGACATTGCACATACAGTGTAGTTCTCTCAAGCACGTGTGTCTTCTCACACTAGAGCATATATGCATAGCAAAGCTGTGTTTGATCCTTTTCCTGTTGTTGTGACAAAATAGATATCAAAGGGGCTGGTGAGATAGCTCAGTGATTAAGGGCACCTGCTGCTTTTGCGGAGGACCTAGGTTCAGGTCCCAGCACCAACATAGTAACTCACAACAACTTTTAACTCCAGTTCCGAGGAATCTGACACCCTCTTCTGACATCCAAGGGCTCCTGCACACACATACTTAAATATTATTTTTTAGATAATAACAATAAAAATACATCTTAAAAAATTTTGGAGCCGGGCAGTGGTGGCGCACGCCTTTAATCCCAGCACTCGGGAGGCAGAGGCAGGCAGATCTCTGTGAGTTCGAAACCAGCCTGGTCTACAAGAGCTAGTTCCAGGACAGGCTCCAAAACCACAGAGAAACCCTGTCTCGAAAAACCAAAAAAAAAAAAAATTTGGCAAAGGGAATTGTAGGCAGAAGTTTCTGTCCCACAGCAACTCCCAAATACCCAGCAGCTGCTTCTGAAATTACAACAGAGAAGCTTATATTATAAATGCTCGGTCGGTAGCTCAAGCTTATTACTAACTAGCTCTTACGCTTAAATTAACCCACACTTCTTATCTATGTTTAGCCACATGGCTTGGTACCTTTTCTCAGTACAGCTTTCTCATCTGGCTTCCTCTGCATCTGCCCTTCCTCTTCCCAGCATTCTTAGTTTGGTTCCCCAGCCTATCCTTCCTGCCTGGCTACTTCTAATCAGCGTATTATTAAACCAATTCAAGTGACAAATCTTTACAGTTTACAAAGGGATTATTCCACAGCAGAGAATTTAAGGTATCAACACTGTTCAGAAGTTCAAAGGCTCCCCTGAGATTCAGGCTTTTAACTGTGAGCTCTCAAAAAAAAGAAGACAAGATCTCCGGAGTAAATTGGAAGCATGGGGGGGGGGGGGAGTAGTAGGGGGAAAGGTCAAAGGGGAGAGGGGAGGAGGGAAGGGAAGTGGGAGAAAATGTACAGCTGTTGGGGCCCATGCTTCAACAAGGATACCACTTACCAGGGTCGGGGCATGGGGATTAGGAAAATAGTAAAGAAAATGAAGACGTTAATGGAAATAATAAAACAGAAAACATAGGATAGAATTGGGAGGGTGTTCCAGTGAATCCTGAAATTCACCTACATTTAATTTTCCATACACTTTTATACCCCAGTCCCACAGGGGTAAGAAGACAAAAGACCATGTGATACAAAGGAGAACTCAAATAGTTACTTGCTTCAATACTTTGAGACATCAAGTCAACATTTTGTTGTTTAGGCAGTGAACCCGCCGTAGACCAAGTATCCTGAATGCAGCCACTCCCAGGGTCAAACCTCCTATTTTCCTGCACTGGGAGGGAGGGAAGAGGTAGCTGGATCTCTGTGAGTTCGAGGCTCTGCCTGTTCTACAGAGTGAGTTCCAGGACAAGCTCCAAAGCTACAGAGAAACCCTGTCTTGAAAAACCAAAACCAAACAAAAAAATCAAAAGAAGGAGCAGCAGAAGCATGCTTGAATTTCCTGACCCTTGGTCAGGGGATAGTGAATGTACCATCTTAATGTCAAAAGGACCAAGTAAGCCTGGTGGTGGTGGCGCACGCCTAATCCCAGCACTTGGGAGGCAGAGGCAGGCGGATCTCTGTGAGTTCGAGACCAGCCTGGTCTACAAGAGCTAGTTCCAGGACAGGCTCCAAAACCACAGAGAAACCCTGTCTCGAAAAACCAAAAAAAAAAAAAAAAGGACCAAGTAACCACACCCTCGGTCAGGACGTGTCAACAATTTTGAGCAACCTCTAACTCTCTGACCTTCAGACAAGGTGGAAATCGTCTCACATTTTTGGGCCTCCACGTAATAGCACATTCTTATCTAAACAATTAAAATAAGAAGGATTTTAAAAATAAATAAATAATATCTTAAAAATTTTACATATTATAGCTGGGCGGGGGTGGCACACACCTTTAATCCCAGCACTCAGGGAGGCAGAGGCAGGCAAATCTCAGTGAGTTTGAGGCCAGCCAGGTCTACAGAGTGAATTCCAGGACAACCAGAGATACACAGAGAAAGAAACCCTGTGTCAAAAACCAAAAAGGAAAAAGAAAGACTTATTTTAAATTTACATATTTTATTAATTTTATAAAATACAATGGTGCACAGTAAACACTCCCATTCCAGAAAAAAAGAAAGGAAAGCTAATTGGTGTCTTAGTAAGGATTTCTGCTGTGGTGATGAAACACCATCACCAGAACTAACCTAGGGGAGGAAAGGGCTCATTTCGTCTTATACATCCACGTCACAGTTGTCGTTGAAGGATGCCAGGGCAGGAATCAAGGCTGGGACCTGGAGGCCTGAAGTGAAGCAGAAGTCTACTTATTGGCTTGTTCCCCATGCCTTGTCAGTCTGCTTTCTTATACACCCTAGGATCACCTGCCCAGGGGTGGTACCACCCACAGTGAGATGGACCCTCCCACATCAATCATTAATTAAGGAAATGCCCCACAGATTGCCTACAGGCCAGTCTCATGGAGGCATTTTTCTCAATTAAGATTATCTCTTCCTAGATGTTTCTAAGTTTGTGTCAAAAACTAACCAGGGCAGCAAGGAAAGACCAAACACTGCAGGACTAGCACCAAATCCTGCAACTCCAGGTCCCAAATCTGGAACTCCTGGTGGAATCCTCAGTGTCCCTACAAGCTTAAGCACCTCACCCATCCGGTTCTACCGTCTGCAGCACGGGTTGCCTTTCTGTTGATCTGGCTCCACTTCATGCCTGAGGCTTGCTTCCTTAAAATTTATTTATTTATTTACTTGTGTTAATTAAATTTAATCATTTATTGCCTGAGGCTTTCTTTAGCAGATGTCCCACAGCCCTGGCATTTTTAGCATCGTGGTATTCCCAGAGCAGCCTAAGTTTCACCTTCACACCTCTGTGCCATCCCTGCCAAGCTGCTTGCCAAGAATGTGACCCTGCCACACACTGCCTGGCCCCAGTGGCTCTGTGGGACATGGGTGCAAGCTGTCATGACCTCACAACTTTGCATTTCTTGTGTCCACAAAACCACACAGGCAACGCTTCCTAGCTCTGCCAGCTCAAGTAGCAGAGGGGCCCCTTCTACAACAGTGTTGATGACCTGAGTCTTGGCTATTGAACCTGGGCAAACACTTCCTTGAGCAGTTGTCTTGGACGGAGAGCCCCTCTGACGGACAGAGTACTGTCAGTTCATGCTCTTCTTGGGTGGATTTACATTCGCACAAGTCTGAGGCTCCAGTCTTGGGGTCCTGCCCTCAAAGCAGCTCTCCTGTCTGTGAAGAGCTTTCATACGTTCTGTGGGGGCATTTACTTCCATGATTAATATAAAAATATGATGAGTTTACATGCTTTTGCCCTGTCTCTGCCTCCCAAATACTGGGATTAAAGGAGTTCACCACCACTGTTTGGCAAATACACACATTTTAAATGAAAAATACTAGATTCTATAAAGCAATTTTTTTTTTTGAGACAGGGTTTATCTGTGTAGCCCTAGCTATCCTGGAATTCACTCTGTAGACCAGGTTGGCCTTAAACTCACAGAGATCCACCTGCCTCTGCCTCTGAGTGCTGGGATTAAAGGTGTTCATGTGTACCATCTGGAAAGATTTTATAAAGTGATTTTTAAAGTTTTATTTTTATTTTATATGTGTGAGTATTTTGCCTGTATGTACCATGTGCAGTGTCCATGGAGACCTGAAGAGGGAATTGGATCCCTTGGGGCTGAAGTTTCAGACTGTGAACTACTTGGGGTGCTGGGAACTGAGCCGTCCCTTTACTTCATAAAATGCTTTGAAAGGTTCTTCACAGTTCTGAGAGTCATTCCTAGGATATTCAAAAGCTAAATCACTAAGGGTGGGGAAATGGCTTAGTGGTTAAGATATTGGTTGCTCTTTCAAAGGACACAGGTTCATTCCCAGCACCCACATGGTATCTCACAACCATCTGTAATTCTGATTCTAGGGGACCTGATGCCCTCTTCTGGCCTCTGTGGGCACTGCATGTACATGGTGCACAGCTCTATGTGCAGGCAAAATGCCCATGCAAGTAAAATAAAAATTTAAATAATAAATCTGCTAAGTTTATATTTTATGCTAAATGTTAAGTGATTATGTCATAGTTTCATTTCTGCGGCTGTGATAAAACATCCTGCCAAATGCAACGTGAGGGAGAGAAGGTGTACTTGGCTCATGATCCTAGACTATAGGCCTTCAGTACAGAAAGTCAAGGTTGCAGGGACTTGCCACAACCAGTCACATTACATCACAGTCAAGGCGAGAGCCTTGAATGAACGCGTGCTTGCTTGTGCTCAGCCTCCTTTCTACTCATACGTAATCTAGGATCCCCTAACCAGAGAGAGAATGGTGCCACCCACAGTGGATACACTAACCATAATTTCCCACAAACCTGTCATCTAGACAGTTCTTCACTGAGATTCCCTTCCCAGATGATTCTAGACCATCTCAAACTAACATTAGCATTAACCACCATAGACTGTTTGCTTGAATCTGTGAGTCAGTCAAGAAAACTCATTGCATTCCAAAAGGGCTTGTAGGAATCCCACTATAACCAGTCACAGTCTTCTGGTGTGCAGACATATATAACACCCATATACATAAAATAAATACAATTTTTTTTAAAAAAATTGTTTTTCGAGACAGGTTTCTCTGTGTAGCTTTGGAGCCTGTCCTGGCACTCACGTAGATCAGGCTGACCTCCAACTCACAGAGATCCACCTGCCTCTGCCTTCCAAGTGATGGGATTAAAGGCGTGTGCCTGGCTCAGTTTTGAAAAATTAAACGACTTAGGCTTGTGGTTACTGTCTGTATTAGATAGGGACTTATCTTGAAACCTAGCCTTCCACCTGTCTGATCTGACATTATCTTCAGGTAGATTTTTGTCACCACCAAGTTACTGCTTGCTTGGCTTGTAGATAAAGGTGCCTTCATGTAGCTGGAGCCAAACTGATCTGAGTCAGAAGAATGCAGTAGAGGAAGGTAAGTTTAGTCTGAGTGGTTTTTTTTTTTTTTCTGTATAGTCATCAAACTTTAAAAGTCAGACATAAACAAGGCAAGAATAAGAGAAAAATAGTTATAAGATACAGCAGAGACTGAGTTTCTCAGCTCAAAAGGAGCAGGAATGTTAGTCACAGAGCAGAAACTGTGAAAAAAAAATCAGTCACTGTGAAAAGAGAAGTAGATGACAGGCATCAAGCCTTCTGAGACCCAGGCCTTGCCCTCCTGTGACTCTGTCATTTCCCATCCAAGGTTTCCAAGATTTGGAGAGAGGTTTTGGGAGCTTGCTCCAGAAGCAACCCCTTCACTCAGTAACTAGAACATTACCACAGCTAATGTGAGGGAAACCGGAAAGGGCAGCCTAGTCATGGGCCCAGGAAGGCAAGGTGTTGACCGTCACTGAACAGCCTGTGCAGACTGTGTTCTGGGGAGGAGGCAAGGAACCAAGCAAGTGTACACGGGAGACTAAGAAGCAAGACAAATGAGAAGTTTGCAGTGATGTTCTCTGTGGCAGATTGTAGTAATAAGAGCGGCGGGGCTGCATTCCCAGCACCCCGGCCGCCTGCTTAGCTTATGCCCGAAATAACAACACACAAACTGTCTTCATTTAATCACTGCTTGGCCCTTTAGCTCTAGCCCTTACAGGCTAATTCTGATATCCCGATCAACCCATCTCTAATAATCTGTGAGCACCGGTCTTACCGGGAAAGGTTCAGCATGTCTAACCTGGCGGCTTGCTTCATCGCGTGCGTCTGCCCGGGAGAGGGGAGCATGGCATCTCTCTGAGGCATCTGCTCCCGAGAGGAGAGCTGTGGAGTCTGAGCTCACTTCCTCTTCCTCCCAGCGTTCTGTTCTGTTTACTCCTCCCACCTATCTTCTAACCAATGAGGGCCAAGCAGTTTCTTTTTATTTAACCAATGACCTTCCTCCACCAGCAGATGGCCCAGGTCCATCCCTTCTTCCTTTAAGACAGTGTCCTCAGCAGACATTACCCTCCTGGCATGTTTGTCCTTCACTGGAGATAGTTTTCGGTTGTCCAACTCAGTGACCAGTGTTATGGACATTTAGCAGTTGTAGAAAGCAAGGATGTTGTTGCCAAATGTCTTACACTATACTAGAAAAGGACTGCCTCTGCCGGTGCAGCGGCAGGGTAAGCCGTTGTTAAAGTTCAGTACTGTGCTTTCTGCTGCAGAGTCAGGAAAGGATGATGGCCCCAATACAGAGTGCTTCCAGACTGGAGAGATGATGGCTCAGCCACTGGGAGCTCTCACTGCTCTTGTGAAGGACCCAAGTTCAGTTACCAGTGCTCACAACCACCTATAACTCCATCTGCAGGGGATTCAGCACCTTCTTCTGCCCTCCAGTGGGCACAGCATGCACATGTACAATCACACACGGATACAGACATACATACATACAGACAGACAGACAGACATAATTTAAAGTAAGTCTTTTTTTAAAGAATGTTTTATACAAGAACTGACGTGTTTTTTAAATTTATTGTACATGCTGACCACAATTAATCATCCCTCTTCTTCTCTTCCCTCTCTCCATCCCCATGCACTCCTCCTCTGTCTCCATTCAGAAAGGGGCAGGCCTCCCATGAGAGTCAACAAAGCATGCACATCAAGTTGAGGCCGGACCTCTAAGGCAACCCAGCATGGGGAATGGGTTCCCAAAAGCTAGCTCAAGTACCTGGAACAGGTCCTAATCCCACTGCTAGGAGCCCCACAAACAGAGCAAGCTACATAACTGTCACACACATGCAGAACGCCTAGGTCAGTTCCAGGCAAGCTCCCTAGCTGATGGTCTAGAGTCGGTGAGCTCCCATGAGCTCAGGTCAACTGTCTCTCTGGGGTCCCCTGTCATGACCCTGACCCCCTCCCCCTGGCTCATACAATCCTTCCTCCCTCTCTCTCTTCAACAGAACTCCCAGAGCTTGGCCAGTGCTTGGCTGTGGATCTTTGCATCTAACACTTACTTGCTGAATGTTCTCTAATGCAATTAGGATAGTCACCAGCCTGATAACAGGAGGAGGTCAGTTCAGGCCCCCTCTCCACTATTGCTAGGACTGACATCTTATTGGAATACAAACACCTAAAGACAATTTTCAATATTTCAGGACAGAGCCCCCACATAAAATCCAACCTGCTTTCGGGAAGCCTTCAGAGCCTGTGGCGGGCAGTCACTGGCCCGCTTTTTGATTTCCAAGGAGACCCAGCTCAGCAAGGCGGAACCTTCATTTTAGGTCCAGGTGAGCATCAAGGACAGGTTATGTCTCAGTGCCCTCGGCAGTCTAAGAGCCATCCACCTTCCTTATGTGATAGATACTGGTCTAATGAGAGGGCGTGCTCTGATAAGGAGCATCTTTCATTTTCAGAGACTTCTGGGTATTGATGTCTGTGTTTGATGAGGGTCCTCATCACTATAGAGTGAGGGCAGGGACTTGGGACACAGAGAGTAAGCTATGAGTTGCTGATTAAAAGTTCAACGGGGCTTAAAGAAATTGCTCAGCGTTTATGAGCACTGTGTGCTCTTGCGATGGACCTAATTCAGTTCCCAGCACCTATATCAGGTGACTCACAACCACCTATAACTTTAGCTCCTAGGGATCTGATGCCCTCTTCTGGCCTCCTTGGGGACCTACACTCATGTGTACAACCTCCCCCTCCCCACATACTTATAAATATACATAATTAAAAATAAAATAAATCTTAAAGGAGTTCAGTGCTCACTTTGGCAGCACATATCCTAAAATTGGGACAATGCAAAGACGAGCATGGTCGCTGCACAAAGGACAACATTCGGATTTGCATCCTAGTCCACATTGTTCCTTCGGCACTCAGAAGAAATCTGGAAATTTCCATGAACAAAGTGGGGGATCCAGATGTGCACAGTGATACCAGGCTGGTCAGAGCCATCTGGCCCAAAGGAATAGGAATGCTCCAGAGTGGGCCCCTGTCCATTTGTCCAGAAAACGAATTGAGGCTGAGGAGTCACCAGTCTCTACACTTTGATAACCTGTGTCCTTATCACACATTAAAAAAAATCTCCAGACAGAAAAACAGACACAGTTGGGAGGTAGAGGCAGGTAGATTTTTGATTTCAAGGCTATCCTGGTTTATAGACTGAGTTCCAGGACAGCCAGGGCTTAAAAGGAAAAAAAAAAAAAAAAGCAAAAAACCAAAACAAACAAAAAACCTACAGTTAGTGCGAATGAGAATATGGAATAAAGTTACAGAACTGTCAAAATATAAGTTCAATAGGGGCCTGACCAGATAGCTTCCCAGATAAAAACACTTGCTATTCAAGCTTGGAGAGGTGAGTTCCTTTTGTAAATGAAAGAATCTTTACTTTTGCTGACTGAAGTAAGAAACCCACACAGTGTTGGAAAGCGAGCCAGTACCAGGGTTAGCTCGTTCTGAAGTGAGGACTGCCATAAGGCACGGCTTCAACAACCGCATTGACCGTGTCTGGGCCAGCAGTGTGGAAAGCAGACTTTCTCCACATTCACGGTCTGCAGTAACAGACCAAACAGCCACTGGCGTAGGCAGATTTTTCTTCATTCTCTGCCTCTTTAAAATTGTACCTCCTGGTGAATTATTAACACGTCTACCAGTCCCAGACTCTTCAAAGGCCTGCTTTTGACTAAGTGTTTTGTTTTTTGTAGCAGGCACACTTGTACCCATCTCTTACAAATTTAGATCATTTAAAAAAATAAAGAAAAAGAAAAAGCTCTTTGGAGCTGGAGTTGTAACTCAGTGGAAGGTGCATTGTCTCCTAGGCTCATCATCGATAAATGACTAAGTAAATACGTGAGCCCATTTTGAGCTCAGCTCAGAGCTCGCTCCTTTCCATCCTCCCCCTTTTTTTCTTTTTTTGAGACAGCGTCTCCTGACGTACCTGTGGCTGTTCTAGACCTCCCTCTGTAGTCCAGGCTGGCCTTCAACTCACAGAGATCGGCCTGTCTCTGCCTCCTGAGTGCTGGGATTCTTTAATCCACTACCTCCCAGCCTCCATATTCTTTTCTTTCTCCATGGTGTCGGATATTTCACCCAGGATCTTGTGTACTGTACCGGTGCTTCCATCACTGAGCTACACCCCAATCTTCCAGACCCATATTTTTGCATAACTAATTTGCATCCCCAGACCTGGAAGGTGTTGTTGGAGGCTGTTCGTTTGTTCCCAGACATTCAGACCCAAAATAATTACACAGAAACTATATTATTTAAAACACTGCTTGGCGCCGGGCGGTGGTGGTGCAGGCCTGCCTTTAATCCCAGCACTCAGGAGGCAGAGGCAGGCGGATCTCTGTGAGTTCGAGACCAGCCTGGTCTACAAGAGCTAGTTCCAGGACAGGAACCAAAACCACAGAGAAACCCTGTCTCGAAAAACAAACAAACAAAAAAAAAAGAGTAAAACACTGCTTGGCCAATAGCTTAAGCGTATTGCTAGCTAGCTCTTATATCTTAAATTAACCCATTTTCATGATTTTATATTTTACCACAAGGCTTGTGGTTTACTGGTAAAGTTCCCAGGCATCTGTCTCCTTCCGTGGCAGCTACATGGCATCTCACTGACTCTGCCTACCTTCTCTGTACATCTATGTTTGGATTTCCCGCCTGGCTTTACTCTGTTAAGCCACTGGCCAAAAGCAGCTTTATTCATTAACCAATAAAAGCAACACATATACAGAAGGCCCTCCCACACCAGGAAAGGGTTGTTGATTTTTACCCCATTCCTCATCTCATGTCACTGAGTCATTTGACCATTGTCTTAGTATTTCTACTGCTGTAGAGACATCAACAGCAACTGTTGGTGATGGTGATGATGATGATGATGATATACAGTGTTCTGCTTGTGTGTATGTCTGTACTCCAGAAGAGGGCACCAGATCTCATTACAAATGGTTGTGAGCCACTGCGTAGTTCCTGGGAATTGAACTCAGGACCTCTGGAAGAGCTGTGACTGCTCTTAACCTCTGAGCTATCTCTCCAGACAGGGTTTCATCAACTGTTATATAGGAAAACATTTAATTGGGGCTGGCTTGCAGTTTAGAGGTTGAATTCATTATCATCATGACAGGAAGCATGGCAGCATGCAGGCAGACATGGTACTGTAGAGGTAGCTGAAAGTGCTACATCTGATTTGTCAGGCAGCAAGAAGAGAAAGTGCCACATGGGGCCTAGCTTGAGCTTCTGAAACTTCAAAGTGGTCCTGTTGACATAGTTCCAATAAGACCTTACCTACTCCAACAAGGCCACATGTCCTAATCCTTTCAAATAATGCCTTATAAGCCACACCATATCCACAGGGGATGAAGAATTAAACCTGTTACTATAGATGTGGCCAGTGGACATGATGCCAAAAAGCATGTTCTTTGAGCTAATGTTTCAAGTTAAATTCTGGTTTTGGCTGCATGGTGGCACATACCTTTAATCCCAGCATTTTGGAGTCAGAGGCAGGAGGATCTCTGTGAGTTCAATCTACATAGTATTTCCAGGCCAACCAGTGCTATATAATAGAGAGATCCTGACTCAAAACAAACAAAAATTCTGGTTTTGAGTTGCAGGTGGAACTAACAGGATTTAGGCGATAAATTACAACTTGAGTGTATAGGATTGTGGGTGTCTAGGTTTACTGTAGCTAGCTGGCTTCCTGCCTTCACTCCTAACCTCTTTGGTTAGTTATAAAGCATTCTATGAAATCAGTGTTTTTCTTTCCTTCTCGCTCTCTCTCTCTCTCTTTTTTTTTTTTTTTTGGCAGTGCTAGGGATGACCCAGAGCCTCATGAGTACTGCACCCCCTAGCCCCCAGGAGTGAATTTTTTGAAGCAAATGATTTATTTTATTAATGCATATGCTAAGGAAATAGATCTTAATTTCCCAGCTGATACCTATGTTAGTTCCAAATTCTGCCTGTCTGGTTGGATGTTTTATTTAATTATACTTGAAACTGAATAGAAGGGTATAATTTAGGATGCTGTTCCCTCAGAGCTCATAATGTGTTAAGAAACACTCTTATTCAACCATTGCCTTGTCATGGTTAATTGCCATGATGCAGAATTATGGTGGCATTACATAGGAAGTATAATGGACTCCAGGTAATTAATTTTTCCCTTTGGACTAATTAGCAATTGCAATACTTCCTTGATCCCGGTAAGCAGTAAATCTAAAGACTAGCACGGCATTTGCCCTCAGCATTTGTCCTTGTTCTCTTCTAGGTAACAGCATCCACTTTGTGCACCGAGACAGAAATAGGTTGGATCACAAGCCCATAAACTCTGTTTTACAGCTTGTGGGAGTTCAGCCTGTGAACTTCATGAGCAGACCTACAGTTATCCATGTATGAATGGGCCCTTGAAACGTGAGACAAAATACCAGGCTTCATGAGATTATGAAAATAAAACTCATGTGCCTGTAGAATTATATTGAGAGGCATCAGGAAAAAGCATTTTAAATTTTATAGCCTCTATAATTATTCATTCAATGAAAGATTTTTGGCAACTAAAATATAAGAAGGGGGCTGGAAAGATCACTTCGTGATTAAGAGCACTTGCTTCTCTTGCAGAGGACCTAGGTTTGGCTCACAATCGTCTGTAGCCCCAGTTCTAAGGTATCCAACACCTTCTTCTGGCCTTGGGGACCAGGTGCACATGTGGTAAACATGCATAAATGTAGGCAAGCACATGAAAGAAGGATAAATAAATCCTATAAAACTACATACATATGTGCATACATGCATGCATGTATGAAGGAAGGGAAGAATGGGCCAGGTATGATGGCACAGGTTTGTAATCCTAACACTGAGAAATGGGACAAGAATTCAGCCTGCCCAAGCAATGGGTGGTACACACCTTTAAACCCAGTGCTTGGGAGGCAGAGGCAGGAGGATCTCTTGTGAGTTCGAGGCCAGCCTGGTCTACAGAGCTAGTTCCAGGACAGAATCTAAAAGCTACAGGGAAACCCTGTCTCTAAAAACCAAATAAATAAATAAAATAACAAAAAGCAAATAAATGTACAGCCAGATGTGGTGGTGCGTGGGGAGGAGGCAGGAATTCTAGAACAGACTTACATTTCTAGATACCTGCTTTTCTCACCCCCCAAATCTGTCTTATTTAGAAAACTATTGTCATATTTTACTTTTTAAGAATTTTAGTTTGGCCAGGCAGTGGTGGCACACACCTCTATTCCCAGCACTCAGGAGGCAAAGGCATCTCTTCAAGTTGGAGGTCAGCCTGGTCTACAGAGCAAGCTCCAGGATAACCAAGGCTAAATAGACAAACCCAGTCTCAAAAACCAAAGGAAGCAGGGGAGAATCTTAGTTTTTTTTGTTTGGTGTTTTTGTTGTTGTTGTTGTTGCTGTTGTTGCTTTTTCAATTCTTTGAGACAAGGTTTTTCTGTATAGTCTTAGCTGTTCTGGGACTCCTGCTCTGTAGACCAGGCTGACCTAGAACTCAGAGATCTGCCTGCCTTTGCCTCACAAGTGCTAGGATCAAAGGTGTGTGCCACAACCACCCAGCTAAGAATCTTAGTTTTGTCTCAGAAATTCTCAAGAAAACTATCTCAAAATCAAAATATTGATAATTCTTAGCAACTGTAATACTACTATGACCTTATACTTTTATATAAGCATATTAACTCACAAAACTATTTAATGTATATTCACACAAATATATATGGACAGTCATGGTTTTAAATCAATAAATTTAAAATTAAATTTTTTTGCTATTTTTTGTTTGGAATATTTTGTTTGTTCTGGGGTCCTTTGGGGGTGAGGGAGAACAGTTCCTCATTATGTCGTAGGCTGGCTTAGGCTTCCCTAGCCCATTGAGAGATGGCTCATCCTCCTCTTATAGAGGTCCTGAGTTTGTTTTCCTGCACCCATACCAGGCCTCTCACAAATGCTTATAACTCCAGTTCCAGGGGATCTGGCCTCATCAGCATGTGCATGCAAATGGCGTACATGTCCTCTGATACACACACATACAATGTGTAAGGAATAAATCTTAAAACAACCACAAACCTGTCTATCTTAGGCTGGTCTTGAACTCTCAAGCCTCCTGCCCCAACCTCTCAGTGCCGGAATTAATACAGGTATATGCTGTCACACCCAGCCTGTTCTATTTTGAACATAAAAGAAAGAATAATAGCCAGATCCCCTTTTGCCAGTTTTAACCAAAATTTATATATTTGCAAGTATAAATAAGTGTTATATTTGTGGCTTTAGGGAGGTACAGATCCATAAGGACTGTGCATACGGTTGCCACCCGAATATATGAATACCAAGGCAACAGCTGGGTGTGATGCTGTCTGTGAAGGGGTACCATGATCACGGCGACTCTTTGTTGTTGTTGTCTTCGAGACAGCCTTGGCTGTGAAACTTGCTTTGTAGAGCAGGCTGGTCTTGAACTCACAGAGATCCACCTGCCTCTGCCTCCTGAGTGCTGGGATTAAAGGCGTGCGCCACCACTGCCCAACTCTTTAAAAAAAAAAGCATTTAAGTACTCGCTTTGGCAACATACATACTAAAATCTGAATGATACAGAGAAGATTAGCATAGCCTCTTCACAAGCATAACATATAGATTTGTAAAGCCTTCCATATTTTTGTAGAATTCTGCAGTTTAAAAAAGGCATTTAATTGGGGATGTGTTTACAGTTTCAGAGACTCAAAGCATTAGCATCATGGCAGGAAGCATGGTGGTATGTAGGTGTTGTAAGACCTTTACATCCTGATCTGCAGGCAGAGACAGACAGACAGACAGATAATGCTTATGGGCTTTTGAAACCTCAGAGCCCACCCTCCAGTGGTACACCTCTTCCACCAAGGCCACATCTTCTAACCCTTCTAATCCTTTCAAACAGTCCAATTCCCTGGTGACTAAGCATTCAAATACATGAGCCTCTGGGGACCATTGTAATTTAAACCATCACAGGTAACATGCACCTATAGTCTCACTTACTTGGGAAATGGATCATTCACTGGAGCCCAGGACCAGCCTGGGCATTGTGTGTGTGTTATAAAATTATAATGCACACTGAACTATATAAACATACTCCCACCCAGGTCATGATTATACTAAAATCGAAATCCTGAAACTCTTTCTATGAAAAATGTAGACATTGTAGATAAAACAATAATATTGGACTGGGGAGTGTGGCTCAGTACTTACCTAGCATGTTCAAGGCACTGGGTTCTTACACAATACCACCAAACAAAACAAAACTAAAACATTTTTGTGGTGCTCTGTGTTCACCTATACACTCTTTGCACACCGTGTGGAATTACTATTATAACCATCATCCAGAACACACATTTCACAGAGAAGAACCTTTTTTACAAGAAACTCCAGAGGGGCCACAAACAACCTGAAAGCAGGCTGATGACAATGTGTGAAGTCACGGATCACCTGGGAGGCAGGAACTCATTCCCAGCTTATGAGAAAGCTGTTCTTTGGCCACTTCAAACAACAGATAGAGTTAACTACGACCCTTGCATGAAACCCTCTGAAGACAACACCTGGGGTCCGAGACCCATGGGCTGCACCTTCTCAGAACGGTCAGATTCCCCATGGGCCATGACCCCATGAGGGAATTCACTGGGAACCTTCTGCAGTGAACCTCTGTGCAAACAAAAACCTCGATGACATAACAGCAGATTTTGAAAAGTATGGCTGAAAGCAAGGAACAGTCAACTAAACTGCAGTCACAACTACTCAGGATGCTGAGGCAAGATCTCTTAGCCCACAAGTCGCATAACAGCCCTGGCAACAGCAGCCCCTAGCTAATAAAGGAAAACAAACCAATCAGGCTGGCCTGTAGCTCATTGACAGTATTTGTCTCACGTTATCTTGAGCACTGGGGGGAAATCATGCTCAGATTTTTGTTTTAGGGGAAGGGTATGTAGTTCCATGGTAAAATGCTTGCCCAGCATGTACAAGGTCCCTGAGTTCCATCCCTAGAAACAAAGTAAATCTTAATTTAAAATAGAGAATGAACCCCAAGAGGACTTGGGATAGACGAGAAATCTGCAAACACTTGCTAAAGTTACCTTCTACCATGCAGCCGAGGTGAACTCTGACCATGTAGATGGAGAAACGTCTAAGGATGTGTAGTGTTCTACTTCAAAATCAATAGTCATTTTAAGCAGAGCGTTCTAGGGCTGGGTTGTTACATGGTGGTAGATGCTTGCTTAGCAGCACAGGCAGATGAAAGAATGGATGATGGATGGATGGATCATTTAAGACATGCTCTTGACATGCATACATTTTGTAAAAAAATGGTTTTCAATTTAGCTTAAAAAATTCATTTTAGCTAGGCATGGTTGCATATACTTTTAATCCCAGCATTCAGAAGGCAGAAGGAAGTAGATCACTATGAGTTTGCGCCAGGCTGCTCTACATAGTGAGTTCTAGGCCACCTAGGTATATAGTGATGCTCTGCCCCCCAAAAGAAAAACCTCAACAAACCAAATCCTCCATAATTGTTAGGGGCTAGTGAGATGACTCAGAGAGGAAAAGGTACTTGTCACCAAGCCTGAAAGCTTGTGTTCTGTTCTTGGTAGAAAGGGGGAATCAATTTCTGAAAGTTGTTTTCTAACCGCACATGCACTGTAATGTTTATAAACACATATGTACATACGTGAACACCACCACTGCCTACGTGTTTTTTAAATCACAAAAAACAAAAAAAGTTCCTAGAAAAATATCAATGATATTTTGGATTTAGACAAGATTCAGACAAATAAAATAAAAACAGGCTAAATAATAAAAACATTTAAAGAACATTTGTTGTTCTGGTTTTTTTTTTTGTTTTGTTTTCTTTGTTTTTTTTGTTTTTCGAGACAGGGTTTCTTTGTGGCTTTGGAGCCTGTCCTGGAACTAGCTCTGTAGACATTTATTGTTCTGTTTATTTTATTCTTAGTTAAGAATTATTCAATATTAAGATCACATACTGAACCAGGCAGTGGTGGTGCACATCTTTAATCCCAGGCCTTGGGAGGCAGAAGCCAACTTGGTCGACAGAGCTAGTTCTAGGATGGCAAGGCCAAAGAAACTGTCTTGAAAAGCAAAACAAAACAAAAAACAAGCAACAACCAAAAAAAAAAAAAAACACTGATCTTCAGAGGACCCAAATCCAGGTAGCTCACAACCACAAGTGACTCCAGCTCCAGAGGACCCAACACGCTCTTCAGGACTCCTTGGGCACTGCACACATATGTGCATACACACACACACACACACACACACACACACACAATCAGCCAGGCATGGTAGTACACACCTGTAATCCCAGCACTGTATACATCTCCAGAGTCTGCCTCACATAGAAGCCAGACAAGAGGCTGGAGGATGCCAACTGTAACACTGTCACAGCTATGAACTGGAGATGCCCCAAATGTCCAGCACCAGAAAAATGGTCAAGGACATTGTGTTTATCGTATATACCCGTGAGATACAAACCAAAAGCGTGCATAGCTGAGAGGCGTGTCTTAGTTACTTTTTATTGCTGTGCAGAGATGTCACGACCAAGGGAACTTACAGAGGGAAACATCTAAAGGGACTCAGTTTCAGAGGGGTTAGAACCTGCAACTGTCGTGGCAGGCGTGTACTGTAGCTGAGAGGTCACGTTTAGACAGTGAGACAGAGAGCCAACTGGAATGGTACGGGTTTGTAAACCTCAAAGCCCTCCACTGTGACACACCTCCTCCTTCCCAAACAGGTCTACCCACTGGGGACCAAGTATTTAAATATGTAAGTCTATGGGGATCATTTTCACTTATGTTACCACACAGCATGATCCCAGAAAACAAAGCAGTTACAGAGAAAAAAAATCCTTTATGTAATACACACATTTATATATATACATATATGTGTACTGTATATATATTATACATGCATATGTATACATACATACACATATACATACACACATACATACACACATATTTAGGCTGGGCAGTGGTGGCACACACCTTTAATCCCAGCACTTAGGAGGCGGAAGCAGGCAGATCTCTTTGAGTTCGAGGCCAGCCTGGACAGGCCCCAAAGCTACGAGAAACTCTGTCTCAAAAAAAAAAAAAAAACAAAATAAACAAGCAAATAAACAAAATTTATAAATATATATTTAAATGTGTGTGTAGTTTCTTGCTTTTTTGTTTTATGAGGCAGGATCTCACTATGTAGCCCTGTTTGGCCTCATGCTCACTATGTGGATTAGACTGGTTTAAAATTTACATAGCTTTACCTACTCTGCTTCCCAAATTAAATCCTGATGAACTGAGTTCAATTCCTGGGACCCATTTGGTGGAATGAGAGAACTGAGTAATGTATGTTGTTCTCTGACAGCCTTCTAACATACACACACACACACACACACACACGCACACACACACCTACACACACATGTGCACACACACATGCTGTGGCAAACACGTGAATACATACATATATACTCACACACAAAAACAAATAAATGTAATTTTAAAAAGAAGGCTAGGGAACATAGCTCAGCAAGTAGAGTGGCTGACACCCACGAAGCCCAGATTCCCAGTGCTGCATATGCCCAGACACAGTGCCACATCTCTGCAGCTCAAGCACTTTGGAGATGGAGGCAGAAGGACCAGAAGTTCAGGTCATCCTCAGCTACATAGTGAGTATGAGACCAGCCTGGGCTACTACATAAGACCCTGATTCAAAAACAAAGTACGAAATGAGTGACAAGCATCCCTTTGCATGGGGCAGACTAGTTCACAGGAACTGGAAGGTTGGGGACTGCAGTCAGTAGAAGCTCCAGAGTTCAGAGCAGCTCCCAGCAGCTACGCATCAGCCTTGTTCATCACAGTAAGACACTGGATCAAAGCACTTACAGAAGTCAAACTGGTTTCAAGAAAAGCATTTTGCATGCTATGCTGATCTTCGTACAATGACTTAAAAATGTAGGTAGGAAGTCAGAATGTTTTAAAAGGTTCTTTAGTGAGTCCTACAGCTGGCTGTTATTTAGTCTTATTCAGCTAGCAGTCTGGAATCGGTGAGTCACTGGCATTTCTAGATTTCAACCCTTAAGGCCTTGAAATGTCATACGTGAGCACATTTACTGACTTAATGTAAACGGAACAGCTTTTCATTTCCAGGCATTGTGTGGGAATGGAGGCCTGCACTCTCACCTCCACAGTACAGAATGAGAGACAGGAGGATAGTAGTTTGAGACCAGAGACTCTGTCTCGCAACCCTCTTTGTCAGAGGGCTGGGAGTGTAGCTCGGTGGTTGAGTTCTTGCCTCGCATGCTTGTGGCTATCATTTGCTTCCCAGAACCTTAAATATGTCTACCTACACAAATGATCCATATTTGTTAGGATTTTGGGAAATTAAAATTTAGCCCCAGATACTTCCTGGTATGGAGACATGTCACCACACTTAAACACCATAAGCACTGACACTTTTGGAGGAGAGAAAAAAAGTGTCACTTCCCTACATTGGAAACTAGTGTGTGGATGGAGAACTCCGGGCTGTCAATGACATCACACAAAATTCATTAAAATCCTAGCACTCAGGAGGCAAACAGAGCTCTGTGAGTTCTAAGCTATCTTTGGGGTTGCTTAGCAAGAAGA